AGATCCTATGGCAACATCTTAGCACCGTACAATCAATCATCGCAATCTAACGAAAAAGGCCGAACTAAACTGCTCAATTTCTTTGGAAAACTTATCGAAAAACGTTCATTCAAGAACTATTCGAATATAGCTTTCTACAAGTGGCCACAAGTGTAAGTAAATCAAGTTGGACATTGAAGCTCATTCAACAATACAGTGTCATCATCACAATCAATCAGTCATCACGCGGCTCTGCAAAAAATTTAGCTTTTTAATCAACACAACGCTGAAAGGATTATGCTTTAACGCTCAAAAGCAGTGCATCTAGTATACAGCAAAGGGTTCGCTTTCAAAAACAATCCTACTGACCAAATTAAATTTTGCCACACTTTCAGCGTTATGAAAACACAACACAAATATTTATTGTTGTTTAATATTGTTTATAAGAATATACATTCAGCATCAAATTATTCGCCGCATTATCATTAGTTCATTGTTGAAATTGTCCTATATTCGCACCTATAGTTACGGCAATATCCTTTGGGACACGGCTTACATACATGGCCATCGTATGCTATAATGAATCTTTGTCATAACAGTAATAAAACTAATCGACAACAACAGTAATATATTCCAATGATAACAGTAGTGTCGGCGACGAGGGCTAATTAAAAGAATTTTTTTTTTGTCTTGAATCCAGTATTCTTTGGACATGAAGTATGCATTTATACTACCAGCTATTCATAAAAATGGTAAAAATCATAATAGATATGATTGTTGTGTAGACAATAAAGTAGGAACGTACGATGATTTGGTCTGAATGTCTATTTTTATATATTTTATCTCAGAGAGGAGAGTATCAATCGTCGATTGCTCCTCGCTTCCACTCAGTACGCTTGTCGTATTGACTTCTCTCATCGCGCCTCGTTTTGTTGGTGGGGTTGTGGTATGTTCCGTTTTTCTACCGTTCAGTTTTGTATTCACGGATTTATTCAATTATATTAACTATAATTACCTGCTTTGTAATATCTTATAATAATAATAATAATAATAACCATCATCATCATCATCATCATCATCATCACCAATGTACTTCTTCGACTACTAATTCAAATGTACATGTACAACAGTCGCGCGCACAAAAAGACAGACATACACACACACACACACACAAACACACACACACGCACACACGTGATATAATACATGCCATGCACAAATTAGCGACGTCCATCTGCCCTCATCAGCCTTTACTTGTCAGTGTATATCTTTTTTGTTGTAAAAGCTGAAACCTCTCAGCACTGATACCCCCCGCAATGGGCAATGATGCCTGTGAAACGGTGGGAACAGTTTTCAATACAGTACACGGAGCGAATATAGTGATATTTATCGTGGTCAAACATGACTGGTCAAATGGTGAGCTGAAATCAAGAACTCAAATAATTAAAAAAATAATTTTTCTTGAGTCTTAGCTGGGAATTGAATCCGGGACCTGATAGTCATGAGTTCGGAATTCGACTTACCCTGCCATCAAGGCAGTATATATATATATATATATATATATATATATATATATATATATATATATATATTATATATATATCAAGATCATGAATATGACATTGTAGAGTTGTGTAGACGCTCAATAAAACAGTTCCATTGGTATGTTCATTTGAAAAGATGGGCCAAAAAA